TTGCATGCATCAATAGTCTGTTCCTTTTAATTGCTTTTTATTGCTGGGTAGCATTCTATTATATGGATATACCATAATCTATTTGTTCATTCACCTATTGATGGCCAATTGCATTGTTTTCAGCTTGGGGCTATTATTAAGAAAATTCTGTGAACATTTGGGTGTGAGTTTTGTTTGGAAATAATGTTTTCATTTCTTTTGGGTAAATGCCCGGAAGTGAAATGAGTAGATCATGAGGAGGGTGTATGTTTTATCAAAAGTCGCCAAACAGTTTTCCAAAGCCATCGAATCATAGCAATGTATGAGAGTTCCAATGCTTTTCAATCTCATTAAAACTTGGTATTGTTAGTCTTGTTAATTTTAGCCATTCTAGTGTGTGTACATTGCTATTATGATTTTAATTTGCATTGCATTTGAGCATCTTTTTATATGCTTGTTGGCTATTTGTATATCTTCTTTTGTGAAATGTCCTTTCATATTTTTGCCTATTTCTTTTGGTTAACATTTTTGTAGAATAGAGGTAAATAACTTTTCAAAAAAAGTGTGGAATTTGGAGAAATCTATAAATTGGAGAGCGCAGGAGGGAAAACATGGCAGACAGGCAGCCCGAGAGAACTGACAGGTTCATCAAGGTGACTGCAGTGCTTGTGACCTTCGCACTCCATAACTAGGTGACCAACTGTCCTAGTTTGCCTAGGACTGTCCCAGTTTCAGTGCTGAAAAACCCTGTGTCCCAAGAAATGTCTCAGTCCTGGCCAAACCCTCTGTAGAGTGTAGGTTGGTCACCCTAGAGAAGTATATTTATAAGGAAGCTACAGACTATATTCAGAGAGTCCCTAGACTGGTCAGGGTTTTAGCGGCAAACTCAGGTGAAACAGTTAGTGGTGAATAAACTCTGAAAGGCCACACAGCTCCTCATCAGGGACAAAGCCAATGTGAAGTGGACCCTAGCCCTCTGCTCAAAAGTCAATAGCTCACTTGTGATATGAGAATTTAGGGACATTGGGAAGGTTCCCTCCTGCTGCTAGGAAAAAAATAAACAAAAAACTCCGAAGATTGCTTTTTGAAATTACAAGCACTATGGACACATTTATAGCTCAAATTTTAATTTTCTGATCAAATACAGTTATCCCTGAAAGAACTGAAACATAGAGTCTTACCAGTCATTTACACCTTAGTATAAAATACTTTACAAAAGTCTTTCCTAAGAACAAACTTTGGTTTGAGAAAGGGTAGTGATAGGAAAATTCTGGGTGCGAGGGTGAGGGGCTACTAGTAAGGAAGAAAAAGTACAAAAATCTTGACAGAATCATGAACACAAGATGAAATTCATTGACTTAGTGTTGTACATAGAGTTGTGTTGCTAGGCAGGGAAGAGTTTTTTTGTGTGATTGCACAGAAGAAAAGTTTATGAGGGCCAAGAGGGAGGAAATTATTCTCTTTCCTTTATGTAGTGTTAAGGAAAAGGCTGGGCTTTGAACTATTTGCTATTGATTTTATACTTCATATACTCCTATTGTTCCTGATTTATTTATAAGATGTCCCTATGTTAGTTGTATATCGTTCCTTGTTTTAGCCCTTGTTGCTATTGCATAACATAAACACAGTCATCTTTTGTTTTACATTACCCCAGAGAAGCTAGATGGAATGTCTGCTTATAGATAATATTACTGCTCTGTTTTCTTACACTGTCTTTCTTTTGAATAACTCCCAACATGTTGTGACATTTTTCTTCTTAATGTTTATTAAATGCCCTCAGCATACTTGGTGTTGTTGAAAGAATATAAAAGACACAATTCTTGCCAATAAGGGATATGCATATTAATAGATAAGACACTTAAACATGCTTTTAAATATATATATGTATATTTTTTTTTCCTAGAAGCTGATAGATTATTTTGTTTGGATGAAGCAGAACAATTGAGCTAATGCACACTACTTCTTAGCTGTTGTCTTGCAACCAAAACAAAAAAAAGTGTAGAGATGTCTTAACCCATAACCTTCAGAACCATGACCTTGGCAGAGTTGGTACTTAAGGTAGAATTAAACTTTTTGCTGAAATTAGCCTGAATTCGATAGTTATAACTAGAAAATTTTGACCACATGTAGCTCTACTGTATGTGACTTTAGTATTCAAGAGTTCTGATTTTTTTTTTTTTTTTTTTTTTTGAGACAGAGTCTCACTCTTTTTGCCCAGGCTAGAGTGAGTGCTGTGGCGTCAGCCTAGCTCACAGCAATCTCACATTCCTGGGCTTAAGCGATCCTCCTGCTTCAGCCTCCCGAGTAGCTGGGACTACAGGCATGTGCCACCATGCCCGGCTAATTTTTTCTATGTATTTTTAGCTGTCCGATTAATTTCTTTCTATTTTTAGTAGAGACGGGGTCTCGCTCTTGCTCAGGCTGGTTTCGAACTCCTGAGCTCAAACAATCCGCCCGCCTCGGCCTCCCAGAGTGCTAGGATTACAGGCGTGAGCCACCGCGCCTGGCCCAAGAATTCTGATTTTTAGACCATTCATTCAGCAATCTTTTCTGAGACCTTATTCTGTATTGTGCCATGTACTAGGAGCTGGGAAATAAAATGGCGAGCAAAATGGATGTGTTCCTGCCTCAATGGAACGATAGGCAGGTGGGGACACAGACATTAAACCAGCCATTGTACTAATCAAGGTGTAACTCCAGGCACATATTCTTATGAGTCTATGAGATGATATAATTAATGAAGTTGACCTCATCTGGGGAGTTTCAGAAATTTCCTCCATGAGATGAGAGAAAGAATGAGGAAGAGGAGTCCAGGTGGAGCTGGAGGAGGGTGCTGCAGGTAGAAGGAGCAGCGAGTATGACAGTCAAGGAACTAAAGGAGCTGGCATGGCCGGAGTCCAGAGAATGAGGACGAGTGTGATTTGAGGCGAGGCCAGAGAAGGTGGCAGGGCCAGGTCATGCAGACCGGTAGGTCAGAGGAGGATAATGCCTTCAGTCCATGAGTTAGGTCAAGCTTATAGAATAGTTCCTGGCATGGTGTCAATGTTTAATATGATATTATTCTGATGTACTTTTCAAAACTATAGTATGAAATACAATTAAATGTTAGCTATTTATTTTAAGAGCAAAGAGAAACTGCTGAAGGATTTTAGGCAGGGGTGTGACATAAAACAGCCAGATTTGCATTTTGTAAGCATCATTCAAGCTACTGTGTAGAAAACAGATTGGGCGGGTGGTGGGGACAGTGCAAATGCCCGTGAGAAGACCAGAAGTAACTGTGTTAGTCGTTCTGTGAGGTTCTTCCTCAGAGATTCTGCATTCCTTTCCACGAGAACTGCTATATTTACCAAGAAACACTCTTGACAAAAATTACGTGAGAAGAAAACCCTAAGCTTCTTGGGATTTTAAGATTTTCTTTGTAAAGGATTACGCAGCCACTCCTGAATTCTACCCTTAGTCCTCTGGAATCTTAAAATTGTTCTGTAAATCCCTCCTTGAAACACTGTTGGAGGCTGGGGCTGGCACCTGTATCCTCTTCCTCATTGTTCGCTGCTGCTTCAGAGACCTGGGTCACTGAGATGAGAGGCGGCTTCAGCAGGGATCTCCCCGCCCTCGCTCCTTCTTGTTTTCAGAGTCCAGGATCTTGTCAGTGTAGGTCAGGGCAGTTTCCACTTGAATCAGAAATTCAAGCCTTCAGACTTTCTTCCAATTCGTAATGACGAGACATTCAATGACAGCATAAAGTCCCAGTGAAGAGATGATTTCTAATTGGCACAGAAATTGAGTGAGTTGATGGTTAAGAATGTGATGAAAAAAAGAGAATGAAAAAGAAACCTTTTATCTGGAAATATTATCCCGGGCCAATGACTTCTTTCTTTCTTTTTTGTTTTTTTAATTAGGAAAGCCCAATTTTTGAGTTGTCCCGATTGGAAAACATCCAGATGATGGTCATTCTTTTTTAGGGCAGAGCCATGGGTGTTTTGGAGAAATAGCCACTTTACATGTTTGCCCAAAGCAAGTAAAGTATCAGTGTCAAAGAATGGGATTTGAGCCCTTCGGTGGTCTTAGAAATTAACTAGCCCCAAGTCAAATTTAATAGAAAAGGAGGCTTTAATAGAAAACGGAGGCTTAGTAAGTATATGCTATTTAGCTCTGGGAGTGTCTTTTGGAGTTAGAACCAAGCTCTCCGGTCTTCATTGTATAGTTCAATTTCCATTCTGTGATCCACGTTTTATAAGAGAAAATATGGTTGTTTGGGATTTTGTTAGTTTGTTTTCTCAACGTGGACAGGGACTTATTTTCAAAGGCATACTTAAACTGACCTGTTTTAACTAAGGTAAGGGATACATAAATGAGAAGAATAAAATGTTAAAGAAATGGATAAGATTAAGTGGATTGAACTATTTTTATACAGGAAGCTGAGTTGATAGATAGGATGTGTGATCTTTTAGAAATTGCCATTTCATTTTCGGTTTTGTAATAAATGAATATGAGCTATGTATTTATACTGTCTGCGGAAGTCAGGACACAAACTAAGTGGTGTTATCTTTGTGAATGATCAACTGCTGAAGACGTTTCAAATTAACTGTATAAATAATCTAACAGGGTCCTTCATTGTACAGTTCTTGGAGCAAACAAAAATGCAATGTGTTTTTATAACTAGATAGCTATTTGATTTTTCCCCCTCCTTCCCACATTTGGATATAGATTGATATAGAATTACTTAAAATGCTGCATATAAATTAAACATTAAAAGGGAGATATGGAGAGGCTAAGCTGCCCCATTATAATCTTTAGTTCTGCAGTCACTGCCTCAAGGACACTCTGTTTCATATCACTTGCCCTTCTTTTGAAAAGTGATCACGGAGGTTCAGGTAACATTTAAGTCCAGCCAGCAACTGCATAATTTATGGACCTTTTTTGTTTTGTGTTCTTATTTTAATGAAAAACAGGAAAACAGAAGACCATTACATACATTAATGCCTTTCTTTTGTTCTTTCCCTCCCACCCTGCCTTTCCAGATAGGGGCCCTGAAGGACTACTACCACTTCTACCATAGCAGGACAATTAAAAGGTCAGTTCTCTCCAGTAGAGGAACCCACAGTTTCATTTCAATGGAACCAAAGGTAAGAAGAACCAGTTGGGTGGGGACCAAGAGGCAAAGCTTTTGCATTTTTCATTGGTGATAATATGCTAGCAGCTGATGACTGGCACGAAGGCTCAAATTTCTAGAGCTGTAATAATATACCTTCGTCCCGTGTCTGTGCTTCCTCTTTAGATTTTTACTGATGTGCTAGTATCATCCGAGTTGTAGAGCAATCTGGGGTATCCATAGGTATGTGTTCTCATGGAGAAATGAGAGGGTGTGGGGGTGGGCAAGATAGCCATAGAAAATGATTGACGTGTTAAGAGTACCGTGCTATCTACCTAATATGCATGTAGATTGATGGTCTGTGAGCCTCACAGAAGGAGGATTTTCTTCTAGAACCCTCAGGTCAGGCCTCAGGTTACCATGAATCCTCCAGATTTTACCCGGCATTGAGAGAGCCACATCTCTAACAGCCCAAGGACTAGACTGGGTCTGGGACAGGAGGAACACTGAACACAGAAGGGGTAGAACCTGGCTCCTGCCCTTGGGGCCTGGTCAGATAGCTTTCTTCCATGGAGTCCTTGGGTTGTGCAGATAACATACCCTTGGGAGAGCTAGAAGGAAGTACGATATGCCTAGGTTCTCCTGATATGCCTAGGTGGGGCAGCTTTGAAATGGGATATGGGAAGGAGAGGGGTGTTAGGGACAAGCTACTAGCAGACAACTAAGACTGTGAGGTCGAGGTAAATATCTGCCCTTATTAATTAAGTTGGAGGAAGGAGCAGAAGTCTGGCGGAGAACTAACCGGCCTCTTGGATGTACGTAGCAAAGAGGAAGAGAGGGCAGCTGTATCAATTTGCCCGAGTTCCTCTGTAGGCTCACTGTGTATTACTGACTGATGAGGGCGTTTTGCTTTTTTCCCCCATTATGATTTGGGTTTGCCATAAGAACTCATTTTTAAATAAATTGATAAACAAGTCCCTACCAGTGAGCATAACAATCTCAGTTAGAGATTCCTTGAAAATTGTATTCCTATTTATAAAGCAAAAAGGCTCCTATTTGAATTAATATGCTAATGAGATTTGCAATTTGGAGTCTTGACCTCTGTTATGTGCTGCGGTTTACCTTGTTTAATTTTTTTCTGGACTATTATGACACAGTGTTCATGATTGTGAAGTTGTATCTCGGTGGTTAGAACAAGTACATTTCTTCTAGGTCCCAATTTTCTGTAGGTTATAGAAACATCTAATACTTCCGTGGCCTATGGATTGCATTTTTTTCCCTTTGTCTCTATTCTGAATTGAATTTTTCTGCAAAAGCACTCTGTTGAGACATTCCTGAATTACCTGCATTTTCAAAGCAAAGTCATACATTTCATCTGTTAACACATTGACTGCCACACTAGGAAAAAAACATTTTTCTTTGAGGCCACGGTATTTATTACGAAAATAGAATAAAAACTTCAAAAACAAAACGATCCTTTCTAATTTAATGAAAAATTTGTTATTTTTTATTGTTTTCTGGACATGAGTTATATGCAACTTGAAAAATAGTTCGTGCAGCTCCCAAGGTAAAGAGACATGTGAGTTACATATGCTCCACGAGGCCTCGGGCTCAAAAGTAGTGTGAGTTAAATACAACTCACAAGACAGTTAATGTGTTAAACAATTTTTTTGAAGCTTTTTTGGAACTTTGGTAATTAAAACAAATCTAATTTTGGAGCTCATGTGCAAAGTCAATATGAATTGGATAAGGCAAGCATGAGCTGGTTTGGGAAGTAATAGCTGAATGTAATGAGGCATTGTTTTCATGATGAAGGATTTACCGAATATGGAGCTGTCTCTATCCTTAGTGTTATCTTGGGGCATCTTGATCTTCATTCTTCTTACCTTAGTGCATCAAATGGCTTATGCTTCATCCAACAGAGACCTTGGATGCTGGGATACTCAGTACCTGGAATCACACCCAGTTCAGAGGAGCAGGGCCATTTCAGGCCATCCCAAGTGTACATGCCCCATCCCCTTCCTCCTCAATAAATAGAATCCTTTGGAGGGCCATACCTCACTCGCCGTTCCAGTGCCTTCTGCCAGTTATTCACACCCAGGATTTACACAGGAGGACTGCAATTCTACCAGCTTTGCAAGAGGGAGCACCACCAACTAGAGTTTGCCCACAGTTTCTTTCAGATATTTCATCATATTTATAGTTCATTCGTTCATTGCCATTTCTTGAACTCCCGTCTTCTGCCAGGCCCTGTGTTAGGCTCTGCGCTTTGGAGATATAGTGGTGCCTGACTGGTGGGATCTCCCACAGTGGCTTTCAGGGAAGCCCCAGACATGGCAGTGCTTCTCACAGTTGGGAACTGGGGAGGCAAAGGACTTGGGAGTGTGCTCCAGTCTTCCTTCTTTTCCATCTTCCTCCTCAAAAAGCTCAGGCTTACCTAGGTTGTTTTTTCTTTTTAATTTTAAAAAACTTTTTATTTACAGAGAAGTTGCAAAAATGTTACAAAAAGTTCCTATATATTCTTCCCAAATTCCCTACATGTTAATGTGTTAAATTTATAACCTTTGATCATTCACTTTCTCTCTGGTCTGTACACACACACACACACACACACACACACATGTATGTGTTTGTATACATATGTTTGTATGTAAGTTTTTTTCTGAACATTTGGAGCAAACAACGGACATGATGCTCCTTCAACTCTAAATTTTTCACTGTGTATTTATTAAAAATAAGTGCCTGACAAAGAAGATGGTAAAAGAAAGAATAGAAAAAAAAAAAAAGCAAAATATTTATTAACAGTAAGTTCATAACCATAAGTAAAATAATAAAAATTTAGATATTAACATTAATTCAATATTATTATCTAGTCTGCAGACTTAATCCAGATTTTAAGATCTGGATCACATGTGGGTGTCATGTTTCCTAAGCCCTCGTTACTCTGTCATATTCCTTCAGCTTTCTTTTGTCTTTTTTCTTTCACGAGCCAGAAATTTTTTAAAGAGTACAGGCCAGTTATTTTGTAGAATAATTCTCAAGTTTGGTTTATTTCTTTCCTCGTGACTAGGTTCAGGTTTGGCAAGACCATTTTTGGCAAAAATACCAGAGAAATGATGTGTTTTTCCCAGCGCATCTGATTGGGAGATACGTGGTATTGCGTTTTCCTTACTGATGGTGTTAACTTTGATCACATAGTTAGGATGGTGTCTGCCAGGTTTCTCTGCTTTAAAAATACTATGGGTATACTTCAGAGATCTTGTGGGTTCACTGCTAGACCACTGCAATAACACTAATACAGCCATAAGTGAGTCACACAATTACTTTGGTTTTCCAATGCATATAAAAGTTATATTTACACTGTACTATAGTTTATTAAGTGTGCAATAGCATTATGTCTAAAAAATAATGTACTTACCATAATTAAAAAATCCTTTATTGCTAAAAAATGCTAATGATCATCCGAACCTTCAGCGAGTCACCGTCTTTTTGCAGGTAGAGGGCCGTGGTTCCATGTTGATGGTTTCTGACTTAGCAGGGTGGTGGTTGCTGAAGGTTGCTAGGGCTGTGGCAGTTTCTTAAATATAACTACAGTAAAGTTTTGCCACATCAATTGACTCTTCTTTTCATGAAAGATTTCTCTGTAGCTTGTGATGCTATTTGATAGCATTTTACCCACAGTAGAATTTCTTTCAAAATTCTCTCACACTCTGCCACTGCTTTATCAGCTAAGTTAATGTAATATTCTAAATCCATTGTTGTCATTTCAGCAGTGTTCACAACGTCTTCACCAGCAGTGAAGAGATTCCATCTCAAGAAACCACTTTCTTTGTTCATCCATAAGAAGCAACTCCTAATCTGTTCAAGTGTTATCATGATATTGCAGCATTTTGGTCACATCTTTAGGCTCCACTTCTAATTCTAGTTCTCTTGCTATTTCCAACACATCTTCAGTTGCCTCCTTCACTGAAATCTTGAACCCCTCAAAGTCATCCAAGAGGGCTGAAATAATTTCTTCCAAACTCCTGTTAAAGTTGTGATTTTGACCTCCTCTCATCAGTCACAAGTTTTCTTTTTTTTGAGACAGAGTCTTACTCTGTTTCCCGGGCTCACAGCAACGTCAAACTCCTGGGCTCAAGCAATCCTTCTGCCTCAGCCTCTCGAGTAGCTGGGACTACAGGCATGCGCCACCATGCCCGGCTAATTTTTTTTTCTATATATTTTTAGTTGTCTGGCTAATTTATTTCTATTTTTAGTAGAGACAGGGTCTCGCTCTTGCTCAGGCTGGTCTCAAACTCCTGACCTCGAGTGATCCTCCCTCCTCGGCCTCCCATAGTGCTAGGATTACAGGCGTGAGCCATCGTGCCCGGCCAGTCACAATTTTTCTTAATGGCATCTAGAATCGTGATTCCTTTCCAGAAGGTTTTCTATTTACTTTGCTCAGCTCCATCAGAAGAATCACTATCTATGGCAGTTATAGCCTTACAAAATGTATTTCTTAAATAATATGACTTGAAAGTCAAAATTACTCTTTGATCCATGGACTGTAGAATGAAGTTTTGTTAGTAGGCATAAAAACAATATCCTTACACATTTCCATCAGAGCTCTTGGGTGATGAGGTGCACTGTCAATGAGCAGCAATATTTTGAAAGGAATCTTTTTTTTTTGAGGATTAAGCCTCTACAGTGGGCTTAATCAGTAAACCATGCTGTAAACAGATGTGCTATCATTCAGGCTTTGTTGTTTTATTAATAGAGCACAGGCAGAGTAGATTTAGCATAATTCTTAAAGGTCCTAGGACTTTCAGAATAGTGAATTATAATAGCATTGGCTTCAACTTGAAGGCCCCAGCTACATTAGCCCCTAACAGGAGAGTCAGCTTGTCCTTTTACGCTTTGAAGCCAGGCATTGACTTCTCTCTAGCTGTGAAAGTCCTAGATGGCATCTTCTTCCAAGGGAAATCGGTTTCATCTACATTGAAAATCTTTTGTTTGGTGTGGCCACCTCCATCAATGATCTTATTGTCACTAGAT